GCAGAACACATCAGCATTACGTGTTCACTTTTCCCTCCAGCACATTTTATTCCTATGTGGGAAAAGCAGCCAATCTACTAGGAGTTCCTACATGACTTCAAGTGGTTGGTTTAAGGAATTTCTTTGTGGGCAGGAGAGAGTATGGTGATTGGAGGAGGACCTTAGGTTAACACCTTGGCGTGAATCTGCTACTTCTCAGCTGTTACACTTTACTAAATAGCTCATCTGTTCTGAGCATGTGTCCTTACCTTTAATATGAATAATATTTACCTTGAAGAGCCATTCAAAGTAAACAGAAAACATGAATAAAATGCCCAGCATAGGGCCTGACTCAGTAAGCATTCCGTGAGTAGAAGTGTTATATAAAACTTAGAGGCCTGATGCATGAATTCGTATACCAGGGGGTCCCTTGGCCTGGCCTGCAGGGCGGGCTGAAACCGGCTCTCTGACATCCCCCAAGGGGTCCTGGATTGCAAGAAGGTGCAGGCCAGGCCAAGGTACCCCATTGGTGTACGATTGGGGCCAGGGAAGGACGTGGGAGGTTGGCCCACTGGAGAGGGACCACGGGAGGGCTCCAGGGCATGTCTGGCCCATCTCGCTCAGTCCTGATTGGCCAGACCCCAGCAGCAAGCTAACCTACCAGTCAGAGCGTCTGCCCCCTGGTGGTCAGTGCACATCATAGTGACTGGTCGACCGGTCGACTGTCGGCCCCCTGGTGGTCAGTGCATGTCACAGCAAATGGCTGAGTGGCCTTAGCATATCATTAGCATATTATGCTTTGATTGGTTGAATGGACGACCGGACTCTTAGCCTATTAGGCTTTTATTATATAGGATTGTTGATATAATAGCTTTGAATTAGTAACTAAATGCTGTTCTTTTTATTCCTTTTGCCTAATTTAGTTCAATTGGTTCCCAAATGTCCCAGATTTGAGCAGTGTAGGATGACCTTATCCTGCAGCCAAATATTTGCCTGCCCACCTGCTCACCTCAAAATGCCATTTTGTTGTAGAGAGAAGATTTAGAAGGTCACAGAGGAAGGGTCAACTTAAGATATAAACAACGAGAAGGGATTAGAATGAAGGATCACTTTACTGAAGTGACCTGATTCTTCAGAGCCTGAGCAGTGCTACAGGTCGACTCACCACCTTAGTGTTTTAGTTCCCGGTGTTGTTTTTAGCAACATTAGTGAGTTAAAAACACTAAGGTACTACTACTCCTGATAACATAAAGAACTGAGATTTGCCAAGTTCTTAATATGTGCGAGGCAATAGTCTAGGATAGAACAAAATATAATAGAATAAGCCACACAAGCTTCAATTTGTAGATTTTTTTTTATTTCTAAGCCCACGTTGTATTCTTGAAGCACAGTTTTTATATGGGTCTCTAGAACTGAACCTTTCGTTACTGCATCAAGCCTGTAGACTTCACAGATGCTAAAGCTCCATCCAGTACTTGGACCATACTTATTGCACTATCCAGAGCACCCCTACCAACCCAAGCTACACAAAGCAAACATCCTATTGGGATATGTTCTTGGGGGGCCTTTTTGTTGCTCACGGCCATTTTATTTTCTATCAGTTCACCATCCTCTAGGTCAGGTGCTGCTGAGAAGCCAGACTTGACTAGTTGCGATCTTCCTGCTCCCCTATCTGCAGGAACTCAATCCTATTTTGGTCCATTTTCTCATTTATTTTAAAAATATTTTGACCTAGAGAACCTGGTTTAATGGGAACTCTGGCATTTATGGGCTGCCTTTTGGGATATGTTTAATAAACTAGTGACCCGTCACGCAAAATCGCGTGAGACACGGGACCCCGCTGGCCCTGCCCCCGCTGCCCTGTCCCCGCTGTGCACGCCACCATCTTGTGGCGGTGTTATAGCACGAGGGTCAATTTGCATATTACCTCTTCATTCTATAGGATACTTGATACTTACAATGTTGATAATTATGACAATTTAAGTGATGTGCCAAGCAGCTGGGAAAATATAAATTTGGCTCTAAGAGGGGAGAACAAATGCAGGTGATAACTTTAAGTCTACAGACACAATCCTATATAATAAAAGCCTAATATGCAAATAGACCGAACAGCGGAGCAACCAGAACAACTGAATAACCAAACAACCAATCACTATGACGTGTGCTGACTACTAGGGGATGTATGCGGAACATGGTGGGCGTTGGCCATGGCAGGATGGTGGAGCAGGTGAGCAAGGGTGCCAGACCAAGGCAGGGCACCAGTTGTTGTCATAGGATGAGCCTCTGGTAGTTACTGAAAATTCTTTGCTCCCGCATGCCACGGTCCTGCCCCGCGCTCGCACCTGCAGCCAGTGCCAGAGCCACTGCTTGCACCCACTGCTGGTGCCTGGCACCAGTCCCAATCACTTGGTGCCATCAGCAGGTGTGAGCAGCGGCTGCCGGCCCTGATCGCCCCTGAGGGCTTCTCCACCTCCCCCTGCTCCTGAGGGGTGATCGGGGCAGCAGCCACCACTTGCACCCACTGATGGTGCTAGCCACACTCGCACATGCTGATGGCGCTTGCCCCAATCACTCTGCGCTGTCAGCAGGTGTGAGTGTGGCTGGCACCATTAGTGCATGGGAGTGGCGGTGGCCGGAGTGGGGCTGCTGGCAGACAGGAGACTGGGGGCCATAGCAGGAGGGGCTGGGTGGGGAGCGGAGGATGGGCAGAGACCTGCCCCTGTGCCGACTGCAGCCTCACGGCCCACGGTTCCTTTCAAGGTGCATGAATTCATGCACTGGGCCCCTAGTCTATAATAATAAAAGCATAATATGCTAATTAGACCAGACAGCCAAATGACCTTATGGAAGATCTTCCGGACGAAGCCGGGCCTGTGAGGGCCGAGCCCCTTGCACAAATTTCTAGTTAATTAACAAAAAAACCTGGGTCCCTATGCTCAGGGACTGCCTAAACCCTCTCCCAGGTTTAGGGTGTCTAGTTATGGACTCATAGTAGGTGTTTGCTTGGGATTAGGACAAAGACAATTATATTTACTTCATTGCTCCTGATATCTGGCCAGCACTAGAGCTTTGGGGGATTCAGGGCATTTGGAAGAAGCCCTGCCAAAAGGAGCCATTGGGTCTAAAGCAGATGGTAATGGAGGCCACCGTAGAGAGAGGCCTCTTTCGGGAATGGTACGCCAGTGTGTAGAGGGGAAGGGCCAGGGCAAGAACACAGAACGCACCATGCTTGCTTTCATGGGATACCAGGAGGATCAAATTACCCTTTAAATGTGAGTTTGAGCCCCAAGAATGGTAGACTTGGCTGGGAAGCATGGCAGTAAGTTCTTTCTAGCTTGCAAGCTTCAGGAAGTAGCTTCCGACCCTTCATAATTCTTTACCTGGAAGGTTGCCCACCTGCAACCTGCAGCTACATGCCTCAGTTTTCCCTATGGTCTGCCACAGCCTCTTTCCTTGCCCTGTACAACTTCTTTTTCAGATTAAAAAAAAATAAAATGAAAAACTATATATTTAGAGAATGTATCTAATTGAATGTGTGGTCCACTTGTTTTTTAGAAAGTGTACAAGTACTGTTTAATACATATGGTGCTTCTACTACTTTCTATAAATATTTACTTATTAGATATTGGATAAGTTATGCCTCCTTGTAACACTCTAACAGTGGAAAAATCTGATTCAACTCATTATTTTTAACTCAACATTTTCCTGACACATTCCATATTTTTTAGCATTGTCCATACTGTATACATTTATATACTGCCAGGAAGCTAAATCAACTTGTAAAGTATACTGCAGAATAAAAACACTTACGCATTTATATGTTCCAAACATTTAAACAATTCAATGTAGAGATTTATACACAGGCTTTATAAGTAGGAAGATAGAGACAATTCAATTAGTACATAAAGCTTTTATTTCAAGTTTCCCCCTTCCAAGCAGGCTTCATTTACACATTCTAATACTGTACAAAATTTACATCCTCTGTGACTTTATTCATTTCCCACTAATAGTTTGTGTCCTTCTGAAGTACAGAAAGCTGTATTTATTGTCCTCATAAATGCTTTTATTTATTTTCGTTAGAAATAAAAAATAAATGAAGAACAAGTGGAAGGAAAGCAAATATCCGCGTATAAACGGCGACATTCAGATGGGGTGGTGACAGGTGACAGTAAAAGGTTCGGAGCAGACCTTGTTCTCTTCATAACGTCAGCTGGGATTTCCCCACAAAGCACTGTACTTTTTCTTGCTTTCTATATATTCATATGCTTTCAAGGAAAAGGAAATGAAGGCTAATTGCACTGGGTATATATTCATATATATTTTACAACGGATCCTTTGGATCTGAACATACAAATAAATACAAAAACAACGAAGATTGCACTTGACTGTAGAGACGCAGCGGATTCCGGTACACCTGTCCGTCTTGGCGTGTCCACAGTGAGAACATAGCGCCAGGCGGTTCCCATCGGTGGCTTCCCGGCTGCTGTTCTGAATGCCACGTTTGCCGAGGGACTCACAGACATCTCTGGGTGATTAAAAAAATATTTTAGGCTTTTATTGACTCCTACCAGATGTTTTCCAGATCCAAAGAGCGTGAACATCAAAGTCCTGTTGCTGCCAGTTTGGTTGGTTTGATTGGCCCCACTGAGACCATCTCCTGCCCTCCTGCCCTCCTGCCCTCCTGCCCTCCTGGGCCTGAGCTCCCCAGGCTCCGGCAAACACCGAGCTACGGCCCACTACGCTGAGCTCAGGCGTCTCTGCTGATAACGAATGCGTAGGATGAGTTGGGGGAATGACCAGGGTAAGTCATGTGCTTTCCTAGAGCCAAATCTAGAGCCATTTCTAGAGCCAAGGGGAGGAAGAGGGTGTTTGTTAGGAGCGATGGCTTGCTCCTGTGGCTCTCGTAGGTCGTGTGTTTTAGGGACAGAGAGACAACTGGGACTGTCATAGAAATTACTGACAGAAATTATGCTTTCTTTTTGCTCCCGAATTCCTGAAAGCTATCTCTCAATTTTCCTTGTGGGTGAAGTTTGGGTCAGATACGTTACCCAACAGAAAACACAATATTGTCTGACTGCCTGCCAATCCTACCGTTTGGAGCAAATACCAGGTATTCACTACTTGCTTATATTCTGCAAAAAAAATGAGCAAGACTCCATGGACCGAAGAGTGACATAGTGTATTTTCTTTTAATCTTTCAGACAAAATTGAGGACACAGAAATGATGACTTTGGCTAGCCTGGAGCCTCCGGGGCGAAAAGCAATCGCTACAAGAGCCAGCCTCGTTCTCCTCTATCATCCCCCAAGGCTGGAAGGGGCAGAAGGTCTATGAAATCAAGATATATAGAAACAGAAGTGCTTCTCTTTAACCTTCCGTGATTCTCTACAACCGTGTTGCCTATGGAGTCTGTGATGGAGCCGCAGGTTAGGAATATAGAATCAAGTGGCACTTCCTGTAATGCAGGGTACATATTTTAGTGGGTCCAATTTTGAGTCATTCATGAACACGATATCCCCAAAACTTCAACAAAGACCACATGCAGGTAGACTACAACGCACAATACTGATCGTAGGTCTCTCTGGGGCGCTCGGCGGTGTGTTTCCTGTCTCCTTTTGAAAGTTCAGATCCTCGGGAGGTGTTTTTGTCAAGCTGGGACAAGTTCCAACCAGTCTGAAATGGAAGCGTCTGTCACCACCAGGGAGTTGGTTGTGATCCGAGTCACAGACACAGTATCTGCTCAAGAGCAGGTCTTCTTCTTTTGCGGTTGCTTGTACAGCATCAGCAGCCATTCGAATGCATCGTCCCTAGTGTAATAGTGATGTCACCTGCCGCTGTTTCCTCGAGCGGACACCGTCACTCCAGGGCTTCCTGGCGTCATTTGTTGTAAGGGACGCAGGCGGGCAGGATGACGGGGGCGCAGGCGGGCCCTGCCAGCGGCTCCGCCACGTCTCCCTCCAGCTCTGTCCAGCTGCCTTTCTCCGGACAGTAGCATATTGTGGACGACTTGTAGGCCCCCTGCAACGGCAGAACAGAGCACTTAGGGAGCGGGCTCGGAGAACTGCAAGGGCAGCTTACTGATCCCTTTACCCCGCAAAGAAAAGATCAGTTCTCTGCTCTTGTTTAAAAACTCCCACATGAAAGCAGGGGGTTTGGACCTGTTTTCATCCAATGGGAAATTTGAGACGGACAAAATTTTAAAATCGGTTTTTCTGCGTGTGTCACTAATAAGAAAAGTTAAGTACCTAGAACATCCTGGATAATCAACAAATCCCTTAAAATAATTGACCAAAAAAAATAGGAATTATCCTGGTGGTTTAAGTTTTAAAAATTTCACCTTAAATAGTCAAATGATTAAAGTAAATTGGATTTTAGATCGCTGCCTCACATTTCCATTTTTATGTCACTCCTGTAGAAGGGATTAGCGCTGGGATTCAAAACCGGGTTAAAATGAACTGGGGACGAAAGCTTGCTGAGCTCTTCGCACACTGATTGATTGATTTTCAAGAGGCCACGTGAAAAACAAACAAAAAGCTTGTTCCCTTTGTCAACCTCTGGGGTTGGTGCTTGTGTAACATTTCCCTTCCCAGACCCAAGCAGCTTTCTTTTCATCGCAGGGAACAAACAAAATTCCCCACCAACCGAACCATCACTTTCTGAAAGTGACTCCTGGTGTCTGGTTCCAAACACGGGTACTCTGGCGGCTAGCAATGTGAACCAGCAAACAGGCACACGTACTGATATCTAGTTACATATGTCAATACAGATGTGCCTCCATATAACTAATATCTTTTTTTTCTAGAAAAATGAAAGCTGATTTTTATTTTATCATCAACAGCCATTCTTTAAACATGTACATGCATACGTAATACTCTACACACACATCACAGTTTTAACATTAGTTAATAAAGGTTAAACCCACAACATACATCCTTACAAAAAGGTCAAAATGCAAACTTAAAACTTTAAACAAAAAACTAATATCTTTTTAAAGCTCCCCCCCAGAACTTTACATAACTCCCTTGTTAGATGCAAACAAAAATAACTAAACTCACATGATTAAAACCCTGAATTAGTCTTACAAAACTAACACATATAAATAGAAAAAGAGAAAAAGTCATCTTTTAAAAAGCAATGGTAGACACTAGACCAGGGGTGGGCAAACTTTTTGACTCGAGGGCCACAATGGGTTCTTAAACTGGACCGGAGGGCCGGAACAAAAGCATGGATGGAGTGTTTGTGTGAACTAATATAAATTCAAAGTAAACATCATTACATAAAAGGGTACGGTCTTTTTTTTTTTTTTAGTTTTATTCATTTCAAACGGGCTGGATCCAGCCCGCGGGCCGTAGTTTGACACCTAGACCCTAGGTGTCGCCTGATGTGACGTTAGTTGAATTATAGAGCCTCAAGTGTTTCTGCCAAAAATAAATAAAAAAAAATTTTTAAAAGAAGAGCTGAATTTAATTAAGCCTTTATCTCTAACTTCCAGTCTATGGGAAATATGAACACAGATGATTTTTAAATGACGCCACCAGGACGTCACTAGCTAACTGTAGAGTGCGGGGTGTTCTATGGAACTTACCCTGCTTTTTCATCTGGTCAGAGGCATGGAACAAGAGTGGTAAAGAGGCAATGCTGCACTGTGTAGGAGATGTGTAAGAGCTAACAACTCCTACAAGTGAGACGTGTTTTAACACATCAATGTGAAAAATACATTTTTTAAATGAATAGGAGAATATTCAGGAGAATATTATTTTGGATATAAAGCAATTATTGTTGTTTTTGTTGGGTGTGATAGGGACTGTGTTTACATAAATGAATAATTTTAAAAAGATAAATACTGACACATTTAGAATAAAATAATATGATGTCTAGAATTTGCTTCAAATTGCTCCAGTAAAACAATTTTGAAGGATAAATGGGGGTAAGTGTGGCGAAATGTTGATGGATGTTGAAGTTGGATGGTGTGTTAATGAGGGTCCACTGTGCTCTGAATGTTGGGGTGTGCTTGGAAATTTAATGATAAAGGAGGGAAAGTGAAGCACAATGGCAAATTACATATCCTAAACGGAATTTGTGGGTATTAAACAACTGGTTTCCATTTTCACGCCTTACTGGGCAGAAACTTTTCAGACTCTCCTATTCGAACAATTTCAACAGAACATTTGTAAAGCCACTTTAGACTGACTTTTCCTTGGAAAGCCAGAATTGCAACAGCATGGGGAAGGAGAGAACCCGAGACCTAACCCATTTATGACACAGCCGATCAGAGAGCAAGTTAGCTCTACCACAACCACACTGATTCCATTACTAAAGTAATTTACTGTTTGCATATAAGCACGATAATTATTATTATTATTTCTTTTCTTTTTTGAGCACAATACTCTTAAAAGGGACATGCATGGGTGGTAACACATTTTGAGGGAAACAACCAAAGAACTTGTATGCATATATGCATAACTATGGACACAGACGTGGTGAAGGGAGGGGGGGCGGGGGCGGGCTAAAAGAGGTCAGTGTGGGGCAAAGGGGGACATACGTAATACTTTCAACAATAAAGGTTTAAAAAAAAGCTGAATTGAATGCAAAAAAAAGAAGTAAGCACAAACCAGGAGGAGGAGGAGCTCAGTGGGCACGTACCATGCTCCAGCTGTAGCCTCCCACGAGGTAAATGCTGTCGTCAAGCACGGCACAGCCAGGGCCGCTTCGACCCTCCAGGATGGGAGTTTGCAGAATATTCCACTGGTCACCTTTTGGGTCATAGCATTCCACGAGCATGACATCAAGGTGGGAGAAGCCTAAGCGACAGAGCAGAATGGAATTACAAACAATGAACTCTCAGGGCCCCACCTGAAGGCGAGGGCTTCTTTTTAAAAAGGATCTAGAGCCAGAAGCAGGTAATGTGTCTTGAAGGCATGCGTGCATGCATTTACTGGTGAAATTAGATGTGTCAGAAAGACCTAAAACAAACAAACAGCAAATAAACAACCCGACTCTGGGTGTTCCAGATTAACTGAAAGCGGGAATGCCTGACCAGATATCCTTGGTTGATTATATGGGGGTAGATTTTATTCGAAATGGTTTATTAGGACTTTTTTAAAAGGCTTAAAATAATAATAGTTAAAGTAAGCATTTTATAGAGTGCTTTTATAAGCTCAACAACTAGCTTATTAAAGCACTTTCTATAAATGAACCCACTTAATCCCATCAGTCATCCTATGAGATAGTTATACCAGTCTATTCATTTTGTACATGAAGAAACTGAGGGACAGAGATAATGACTTGAGTAAGTCACATGACCAGTGAGTAGATAGACTGAGATTTGAATCTAAGTGAACAGTCTTTAAAGTTTTATAGACTCACTTTTATAGACTAAACTATATTGCTTTTTAAAAATATATATTTTTATTGATTTCAGAGAGGGAAGAGAGGGAGAGAGAGAAAGAGAGAAACATCAGTGATGAGAGAGAACCATTTATCAGCCACCTCCTGCATGCCCACTTTTGGGAATCCAGCCCGCAACCCAGGAATATGCCCTGACCGGGAATTGAACCATGACCTTCTGGTTCATAGGTCGATGCTCAACCACTGACCCACGCAGACTGGGCTATATTTCTTTTCTTCAACGAATCTTTAAATCTCTCAAAATGTTTAATTAATTAAAATTTGTTGTTCAGCATGTTTTACCTTTTTGGCAGCCTGACTAAGTTTATAAACAGTTACGACAACGTGAACCGGTTCCAGTATCTACTAGGGACCAAGGTTTCGAGTGGGGGGCTAACTTCCACTGCAGGGCTTCTCCCCACCCTTCTGATAAAGCTTCTTAGTGGCTGGGGCACCACCAGGTCACAGAGAACAGCATAGGTTACGGGACTCTATTGGATCCCTGCCTCTAATTTAGGGAGTCAAAGACCCTAGTGGGAGTTTCATGGTCATTGAGCAAACTAAGTCTTCCATGATTTTTTTCCTTAGTTAAATGTATGGTATGGATATTTGCTAGCTGACCATTATAATGCACATAATATAAATAAATTGACATACTGGACTCTTCAAGTTAATTGGCAAGGTAGGCCAGAAAGTAGAATAATTTTCATTCTTGAAGAGGCAGACACAGTATTTCAAGCCACTAACTTTTTACATAAAAGAAATCACATAGATTTGGGAAGAACAGAGTAATGTGCTTCCTGCATCTCTGTGGTATATTTTCTTTCCGTTACCATTAAGATCATTGGTGATGGTTTTTGAAGCATATATACTGGGAATGAAGATTTGGGCAAATTCTTGGTTCTAAGGTCCTGGTGGCATCATATGAGAATATGTGTGCCTTCTCTGTACCAAGTAAATTCGTTGGCTGTAATTCTCACAACTACCAAGGAAGGGATCACTATCCCTCATTTCCAGATGTGAGGTTAAGTGCCTTGAGTAAGACCACACAACTGTAAGTGCACAACTGGGATTCAAATCTGAGCATAGATGCGATGTCCACACCCTTTCCTCTAAGCCACAAGGCCGCCCTGAGCCAGCCTAATTTGATGTGTGTGTGCTATTTTTCATGTAGGTTGTCATTACTCAAATCTTTCCTGTCCAAGTATAACCATAAATATGAAAAGTTCCTAAAGTAGGCATTCTTGTGCAAAGAAATTAGTAGAAGTCATGTTTTAATGCAGACAACTACAAAGTTAATATAAAACATGTGGATGTAAAGGCCATGGAGTATGTGCTGACATGAAGGAGCACCAGCAAAGGAGAAAAACAAAGGGGGAGAGCAGCAGCAGTAATTACAATCCGCCTCCATTGGGAGAGCTCTAAGATGAGCAACAGAGACCAGGAAATGACACTTCTGATTCAATATGAACTTGGATATATTTACATTAAAGTTATACTTGTCTGGTCTTTATTATCTTTAGGGGTAAATATGTATTAAGAAAAATAGAAAAAGTCTATGTGTAAGCTATTTTTAAAAAGTTGTTTATCTAATTGAAACATAAATGCTCAGATGGGCCTTATCTACCATACCAGATGGCCTTGTTCTCATTTAGTTCAATTTCAAGGATCCTGGAAGGTCAGAGCTTCAGGAGTTCTTAGAGACCAACTAGACCAGTTTCTTCATTTTCAGATGAGGAAACTGAGGCCCAAAGCAGCTAATAACAATCTCAATAGCATTCATCTCTCTGCTTTCCTATCAAATTCAATGTCATATAACTGCACATAAAGTTACATTTACACGCATACACTACAAAAATATGTAGTCACGCACACGTGCGAAGGAGAGGAACCAAGACATGGCTCTAAAAATGCTGTGCTTTAAGCAGGTATTTTTATTTTTAAAAAAGCAAATAGAAAAACTTTGAGAATCATAGATGGGCAGTAATTACAATCCGCCTCCATTGGGAGAGCTCTAAGATGAGCAACAGAGACCAGGAAATGACACTTCTGATTCAATATGAACTTGGATATATTAAAAGAGATAATTCTAAATTTAGACATGAAATTCTAAGTGTTTTCCTTAAGAAAAATCACATATTAGCTTCTTTGCCCAGCTATGACTACAGTTTTTATGATTACTAGAGAAAACAATTTTGTGGACAAAATCCATTACTATAACTTTGTTGATAAGGAATAATTTATTTTTACTGAATCCATTGTTACAACAAATTGTGCTTTTTCAGTTATTAGTGCTTTCATTTTTTAATTTTCTGTAGACATTATTATTCATTTCCTTAATATGTGTGGTAACTTAAAAATAATCCTATCTTGTAGAGGAGCCAAAATAGATGCTTGCCCAATGGTACTGGAAATTAACTATGATTATCTATGGAGACACCCCCTTAGCGAGAAACATGAAATGCAAATGTTATTGTGATTTTCTTAAAAAAGACCTTTCAAATGATTTCCTCCAATTGCATATAAGCGATCATTCATTACAGCCAAAGTGTGGATGGCGCGTTTTGTGTTCATATCTTGTTTGCGAGCCCAGACATCCATCACGGGGTCGTAGCAATAGAGCCATGGGACATACTCTCCGTTGTGCACACCCCCTGTGGATTAAACACACACATACAAGTCAAGAAAGCGCCTTGCAACTGAACTTTGTAGCAGAAAGCGGGGATGACTTGCCTGAAATGTATATTTTCCCATTGTGCACGGCTCCTGCGTGAGCTGCCAGAGGCTGTGGCAAAGAGGACACATAACGCCATTCGTTTGTTTCTAGGTTATAGCACTCCACGCTGGACAAATAGCCGGTTTCATTCCTTCCACCAATAACGTATAAATGTTTGTCCAACCGACACGCGTAGAAACTGGCTCTTCTACAACGAGAACAACAATCCACCGTAAATCACAAAAGGAGCCCCGTGGGTCGGGAAAAGGAGGTATATTCAGCTTCAGAAAGGGGGCAAGCCTTTGGAAATCACACAGATAGCTACCTTCTAGATCTGAGACCTTATACAGTGGTCGCATGCATGGCCCATTCTGGTTCACGTTTCTGATATTAAAGTAACAGCAGAGGGGCAGTTCACTAACTCTTTGTTTGAGCTCTTTTTTATCTTACTTGGATACACTGGTAAAGTGTTCACTAATGTTTGGGACATGTGGTATGCTCTGGAAGGATATCACAGCTCAGTAAGACAAAGTGAAAAATGAGGTAGATAATGTAACAATAATAAATTATCTTGACATTCACTTTCTTTATGGTCCTTCAAGGGTCATTGTTCCCAATTTATAAGAGAACTACATCATCAAAATTTTTCTTCAATTATCATTTTTTCTCCCCCCTCCCGCCCCCAGTACTACGGCAAATAGAGAAACTTTTGTGAACTGAATATAGTGTTGAAAAGTTGCTGTTATGTAAGCCATTGCAGGAATTTCACCTATGTAATATTTGGTGTTGATTCTTACAAAGCTATGGGATATTTTTTAGTCTCTTTTCAAGAGAGGCTCTTTATTAGATTATCTCACTATGTCACCAAAAGCATAAGATGCAAGCTGTGTCAAAAGGATTGGAGACAAGAAGACCAATCTGAGGTAGACCATAATCCAGGAGTGAAGTGTTAAAGAAGTAAATTGGAGTTTTAGTAGAAGACATGGAAAGGGGTGACAAAAAAGGTATTTTAAAGGAAGATGCAAGACTTGGTAACTAATAAGATATGGCATTGACTCAAGAAGAATCGCCGCAGTATTGAAGGCAAAGAGTGGCCCAACGAAGTACTGATGGGGTGGTCATAATAATCTGGCCACTCAGTGTATATGGTTTGGAGATTATCCAAGTTGTGTTTACAAAGAGCCCAACCTCGGGGAAGCAGTATATACTAGTAGCATCTTGATGAACCGTTTGGTGTCTGGAATAAGATGGCCTGGCTCTACGATTTACTGGGTGTGTGGCCTTTGACTCATCACTTAACCCTCTCAGACTCAGATTGCTCATCTGTAACATGGGGTTGATGATGGTGCCTTCCTTACAGGGTTATTTGCAAATACACGTGAAGTGCTTGTTACAGTGCCCAGTGTTTGGTTCATGCACAGGACCCATCAGTCAATATTACCTGAATATGTCTTTAAAAATCAGCCATCAAGATGTGTGGAGGTTCCTCAAAAAATTAAAAATGGAACTGCCTTATGACCCAGCAATTCTACTTCTGGGTATATATCTGGAGAAACCCCAAACACCAATTTAAAAGAATATATGCACCCCTATGTTGATGGCAGCATTATTTACAATAGCCAAGATTTGGAAGCAACCCAAGTGCCCATCAATAGATGAGTGGATAAAAAAGCTGTGGTACATATACCATGGAATATTATTTGGCTATAAAAATAATGAAATCTTACCATTTGCAACAGCATGGATGGACCTAAAAGGTATTATTGTAAGTGAAATAAGTCAGACAGAGGAAGACAAATACCAAGTGAATTCAGTTGTATGTGGAATCGAAAGAACAAAATAATCAAACAAACAAAATAGAAACACACTCATAGATTCAGAGAACAGACTGACAGCTGTAAGAGGTGAGGGGGGTTGAGGGACTCAGTGAAAAAGGTGAAGGGATTAAGAAGTATTAATTGGTAGTTATAAAACAGTCACTGAGATATAAAGTAAAGCGTAAGGAATATGGTCAACAATATTGTAATAACTATGTATGTGGCAGGTGGTTACTTGAAATATTGGGGGTAACACTTTGTAATGTACATGATTGCCCAACTGCTATTCTGCACACCTGAAACCAATACAAAATAATTTTAAATGTAATTGAAAAATAAAATTAAAAATATTTGCATATACATTTTTCTCAATTACACAGGGGTGGGGCAAAAGTAAGTTTACAGTATTAAATATCCACTTTTGTTGCTCATTGGTCAAATTACCAGCTGTCATTACCTAAAAGATAAATCATAAGTAAGGATATGAAATAATAACAATAAAACAAATAATAAAAGCAAACAATACAATTAATAAATAAATAATATAATAAATCCTATTTTGCTTTCTCACAACTGTAAACCTTCTTTTGCCCACCCCTACATTTTAAGTGACAACTAAATTCTTTATTTGTGTAGATGACTTATTACCATATAAATATGATAAATGCTATATATGGTGATGTATTCAGTTTTATTTTATTTCCAGCTTTATTGAAGTATAATTGACAAATAAAATTATAATATACTAGAGGCCCAGTGCACAAAAATTTGTG